GCCCCGCCCACGGGGGGGGGGGGGGGGGGGGGGGGGGGGGGGGGGCGCCCCGGGGGCCGGCCCGGCGGGGGGGGTGGGTCCGCGGGGGGGGGGGGGGGAGGGGGGAATTACACTGCTCAACGCAGTGCAGGAGTGCCTCGCGCGAGGCTCTGGCATTAATTGTGTGTACTGCCGAAGCACGTAAGCATAGGGGTGTTCACCGGGGCTGCTCGTTCGACTATTGTGGGGGGAACGTGATGGAAGTTCTTCTTCGCCGAGTTGGCAATGATGCTGGCATATCGTCTTCGAACCTTATATTTCCAGAGCGTGTATATATTCGCGACATGAAATATGCGAGGGAGATTTCTATTGAGTTCTTGTTTGAGCGAGTCGGCAGCAAAACGGAATGTCAAATGTTCGACGTATCAGAGATCGGATGCGATTTTACTGTTTCAGTGAGCGGAAACTGGAACGTTTTTTTATGTGAAGACAACAACAATAACAACAACAGCAGCAAACAACATGTTTTTGGCTTGCAAATTTCACAGGTTGGTTAGTGGGCGAGTTGCATTGTGTTGCAAGCTGTAGTGGCCTGCATCTGTTGTATGTTTCGTTGCTGCCACTGCAATGTCGGTTGCTAAATAGACAACATACATACATGTGTACCTTTTTGGGTACATAGGGCCTGTCCACGGAATGCGTCGCATCATCAGTGAGTTTAGTTGACCCGGTACGGGTGTTTGAAGGTCAACTGAGCAGGGAGCGGTTTCCAGAGACCGGAGCGTTAATTCGATGCAAAAACTTTGTTGTTTCTGCTCCATTTTTCATTTTTCGGTTCTGGTGCCTACCAGCAGCACCGGTCACACACGTTCACACGTTCGAGCTCCTCTCCTAGGGGGGAGTTCATGTTACCTTCAACCCGTGTTGGTGTGTTCTTTTCAGCAGGTCGTTGCTCAAGCCTTTTCAACCCACTGCGCACGATCTCTCAAACTCTCAACCTCGCCTACGAACGAACGTGGTTTTAACCAACTCAACACCAACTGCTGCAAATGCGAGCGGGCGAAACTGCACTGATTTGGATTTGATTTGTCGGAGACGCTAGGGGGTACGTGGAATATTCGGCATACCAGGCTTTGAACGTACATATTTTATCTTCTCGGTTGATCCCCTCGCTTCATGAAAACAAGTTGCATGACAAGGGGCAGACAGCACAGGGAGACAGGCGACACCATGTTGGAGCCAGCAGAGAGGGCGCGACGCTTGGCCGGCACCGCCATGGCGTCACTTTTGACCGCGGCTCTGTTTCTGTCAGTCATGGTCGACTCCTTCGTCGTACAGACGCGAGCGAATAGCCAACCTCGCCCCGATCGCATGAGCAGCAGGAGCAGCCTTGCTGCAGCAGCAGCAGCGACTGCAGCGAGATCTTGCGGCGACTCGAACGCTCGCGCTCGTGGCGGTGGCCAGCTGAGGAGAGTTGTCGAGGGCGTTCGTGGGGGTGAGAGCGGCGCGGGGGGAGCCTTGTCGGCGTCTGCGGCTGATGCTGCTGTCCCAGGGGAGCTGGTTGACGTTCTCGGCGACAACGCGGGTGTCCTCAGCGCGGAGCAGCGGAAGATGGCTGCGACGTTGGTGCAGCTTGGACAGGTACAGCAGCAGTACAGTAGATCCCCCGAAGAGGGTGCGACTAGGCGGGCGGTCTTCGTGTTCTCGTTGCGTAGTCGGAGAGGTTTTCTCGTGCGTTTTAGTAGGCGTCGTTGTTGTTTTTCAAAAGTTGGTTGAATCATGATCCCGGTGTATGACGAGAGATCCTACAACAGTAGGGATAGCACAAAGAGGTTCATACGAGTATGATGACAGCTGTGAGGTTAACACCACAGACGACGACCGCGGGGCGTGCTATGTTGTGGTACGTGCAAGTACTGTACCCACGGCAGCAGAGAAAAATTTCGCTCAATGATACTAGGTCGCTTGGTGCTTGCGCCTTGCGGTGAAATAGGGTTGTGCACGGGCACTCGGGTATCGGTTGGAAGATGCGGCGTATTGGTCCAGCTGGTTTGGTCGTTGTTCGCACAGAGCAAAAACAGACGACTCATGGTAATCGGCCCCCCAGCTGTTGTCTGCATTCAGTTTGTCTGCTGATACCACGGTGGTTATTCTGCGTTTACCCCTACTAACTTTTACTGTAGAGTGTAAAATCTTCGGCGTCCAAGATCCCTTGCCTGTCGTAGACTACCAGGAGGTGTCGACAGCGGAAAGTAGTACTTCCAAGAGAAGTACTTCTACATGTTTGTGAAGCATGAGTCCTCGCTCCTGTATTTATCATGTACGTACTCCGAAACACTTGATTTTACAGGAACACCAGCACTGACTGCTACGCATATGTAGGCTACAGGTTCTGCCACAAACGCGCTGAAAAATCGAGGAAAACTCGTGAAACTTTTGCTCCGCCCCTCCCCCTTACCTCTCTCGCTTATCTTGAGTGTGCCCCCCTCCTGCTGGTGGTTGTCTGTTGTCGTTGTTGTCCCAGGGACACCTCTTCGAGGGGTGGCCGGAGGCAGGCACGAGCGACGACAGCAAGAGGAGTCTCATGGACCAGTCCATCGGCCTCGACGCCAAGTACCCGGGGGGGCTCGCGACGTACGTCAACAAGGTGATTTTCTTTACAGTTTGCGTGGTGCAGGCGACAAACCCACAACAAATCGAAAGAAAAAAGGGCGATGATTCATGCTACGGTTGGTATGGTACGTACTCGCGGTAGTTGATTGCGAGTGGTAGAGTTTCGATGGCCCTAAGGGCGCAAGGTTTCGGTACCACGGTACGAGTTAGTAGGTACCCACCGCTGGGCCGGGAGCTTTAGAGGTACAGAACACATCGCTGGGACAGGACACAACATCAATTAGCACCTCCTCGTCGCGCCCGCCGGATGACTATTTACAACAGCGCTTAACGTCGCACAGCATTGTAGATAGGCTAAACACTGCAAGGTTTGAGTCGTACCCCGCGGCTCATTTCCACGCCCTATCTATTATAGTGTGGGCTCGAGGGCGGGTTGGAACGCCAATCGGGTCTTGCCGTTGTGGAGAACCTCTTGTGCTGCTGATGCCCACGACGTCTCCTGCCGTTCGTCCCATTTTCAAACACAACAACCAATCAGGCGCGGCAGCTGCTCAAGGAGGCGTCGGAAGGGCTGAACCCTTTCGAGGGGTTCACGCCCAAGCTCGCAGACGGAGAGAGCCTGGTTTTCGGCACGGAGGAGTTCGATGAGATGGAGGCGAAGGGCTTGGAGGCTGCCGCTAAGACGGCCTTCGTCTTGGTGAGGTCTGTTTCAGGAACGGTTGTTGGCGTTAGCGGTGGTGGTGGTGATGATGATGCTGTTGCTACTGCTGCTGCTACTGTGTGTTGGTGGTGCTGGTGATGTCGTTACAGCATGCGTTTCGTGTTGTTTTCTGGTGTTTGCTTGTCAGCAGTGATGAGGCTAGTTGGCAACAGCATGCCGCACAGGTGCTATTTTTGTTGCCTCCTCGGGAGGTGACCTTCGACGGTCGTGGCGACAGCTGTTGCCTCCGCGGCTACCCTTTCTTCCCTGTGGGCCCAGCGGCCTCTTTGGGTATGTATTGCCAGTTTGCTCTAGTTTTTGATGGTGCCAGTGGCCCGTCTTCTTCAACGGGACCCCGCAGATTGGACGATTTGGGACAAGCAAACGCTTGGCACGGAAGGATTTGGACGAGTACGTAGTCCATGGGACCGGAGGCAGAGGCGGATGCCAGCCATTTTTGGTGTCGGTAACAATCTAAGAAGTCGGGGGGGGGTGTTGGTGTCTAGCCGTCCGTGGGTTTTCCCAGTAACACTGCGGTTGCCGGGTCGGTTCGTCACGGCATTCCATTTTGGGGAAGCGTTCCGTTTTACGCTGTCATGTTCCCTCCCGCCCTCCCCGTCGAACAGATGCGAGGTCCATGGCATTGAAGTGGCCAAGGAAGGAAACCACGAGTGAATAACACCCCCCCCCCCCCGACCTCCTTTCTCCCGATGTGTTATGTTCTCTCGCGCTTTGGCGCTACTTGTACATGCAAGGTCGCCGGCGGGCTTGGCGAGAGGTTGGGATACGACGGCATCAAGCTCGCTCTTCCTGTGGAGGTGAGAGAAAAATCATCACCTGCTGCCCGACGACGACTCGCCTGTCAGAAATGTTCCGCTGGAGTTTTTAGGCCGGGAACTCGTTTGGGTGCGCTCCTTGACTATGCCGGGACCTGTTGAACAGCTTGAGCTCTTGGGGATCACGTTCCAAAGGCTTCTTCTTTGCCGCCCGTGTGTTGGGTCGTTGGACGAGGCTTGATGGCAAAGGCATTTTGTTGAGGCGATGATGGAGGCGGTGATGGTTTTCACGGTACTGTAGTCGTGAGGTTGTCGACTGCGGCCCAGAGCACACTAACCACGCAATGAAATCAGCGTTTACTTCCAGCCAACGCCCCCTAAGAAATGAGATGCGTTCTGAGACACGCCTCCCCTCCCCCCGCCGAGATGCCAGTACGAGCCAGAACAGGCAGCGACACATCGTCCCCGTGGCACGCGTCTCTTCTCGCACCATTTCGGCATGTCTTTTTGGAGTTGTGCGAAACCTCCACCGTTTCCCTCTCCAGTATGTTTGTAGTCGCCTGCTCCACGCCGTTTTTGTTTTGTGCGGCGGGTGGGATGGTCACTTGCTTGGCTTGACGACCGCAGCACTCGTTCTCTTGGTGGCTTATCGGGGTTCTGAGGGGCTGTTGTGTCGAAACTTTTTTTTTTGTTCCTTTTTTGGTTTGTTGCGCCGCTTGCTAGAGTGTTATGCTCTAACGTGCGTTGCTTCGTGCGTGGTCGGTGTCGTTGTCGATTCAACTTCCCCGTGCTGCTGCTGCTGCTGCTGCCGGGCGTCCAGGTTTCGACGAGGCAGCGGTACCTCGAGCTTTACTGCAAGCACATCCTTGCTCTTCAGGTATTTCGGCGAAAACGAGGGATCGCGGTTTGTCGTTTATGTTCGGATGGCCGTCCAAGATCGATTTGTAGGAGCATACATCCCCTGTCTACCTGTGGCTTTCTCGAGACCGTTTGTATCCAAACCCAATGAAAATGAAGGTGTAAATCCAAACAAGCCAGAGGGGTCAAGCCAAGTCCGGCTTCACAACGATCACACCCGGCGTCGGTGGCATCCTGCATCTGTGTTGATCATCCGGTGTGAGGTGGTGCCATCTGTCACGAGTGTTCGGTTTCGTGAGGCAAACATGGCCGCGCGGGGGGGGGGGTACGACTTTCGGAGGGAGAGTTGTCATTCGTATTGACACGGGACACCGGTTAGTGCTTCGTTGGACGACGTCGAGACCTTCTGAGGCGGCCAGTTTTGGAAGCGTCCACCCTTTTGCGAAGCACGGCGGCACCCTGGTGTCCTGTCGTCAGTGGGAGGGTGTGGTCTCCAAAATTGTGTGTGTCCGTGTTCCCCCTCTCGCGGTCGGAGGCAAAAATATTGACAAGTCGAATGTGTGCGCAAGGAGCATGGGCTACTGATCTTGATGGTGGTCCTCCTCCTCCAGGCCCGATTTTATCCGTCGTTTTCTCGCTTACACACACACACACACACACAAAGTGCGAAGCGAAGCGAGCGGCAACGCGATCAACCATTGTCGACTTTTGCCTCGCCCATGCTCGCTCTACATGTGCCCGACCCGGTGCCGCAACGACAATCTGGAAAAATCCCCCACGCTTGGGCCAGGCGAAGTGCCGCCGGCTGCCGGGGGCCCCGGCGGATCTGACCCTCCCCCTGGTGATCATGACCAGCGACGACACGGACGCCAAGACCCGTGAGTTGGTGGAGAAGGAGGGACGTTACGGCATGGCGGAGGGGCAGATCATCATCGTCATGCAGGACAAGGTGTGTGAAAGAGATAAAGTACAAAACTTTTTTTGGTTGTTTGTTTCGTTGCGGACGTGCAATATTTTATCTTGAATAAGTTATTTAGGAAATACAAATGATTCGATCACCGAAAGAATATCCGTTCGAGATATTACCACAGTCAAAGAGGATGGGTTGAATGAAATGTTTACAGTGAAGGGTGGCGGTTTCTGGGAAAAGTCACTGCCCGCATTTTTGGAACGTGCTCAAGGCCGTGTGGTATGGGATGGACGACCGACCACACATAACCCGACGCTTTTTGAACGGTCTTACGTTCAGAATTTCGGGTGTTGGTGCGATTGTGTTAGCCGTTTATACGGAGTGAGTTTTCGGGAGAATAAAAAAGAAACAGCTTGGCGGGGGACGTTTCGGAACCTAAATATACGGGGGTGGACTCATGATCGTGCATCGGGGGCGGGGGGGCAAGGGGGAGGCGCCACAGTAGGTGCATATCTACCAAGAGATCGGTGTAGTTTGGCGTGTCGTGTTCACAAGCGTTTTCTCGAACGGCGCACGACAGCGGCGACTCCGTATCAACGATCGAAACATCTGAACGCCAATCAAGTGGTGACACTTGTAACGGTTTTCAGACCACGCACGCACGCACGCACGCACGCTCACGCGAAGTTGCTACTACCGCCGCTGTCGTCGTCGCCGTTTGTTGCCGTTTGTTGCCGTACTCTACCGCTGTGTTCTCTCGAAACGACACCATAACGTGCGTCAATCAGGTCCCTGCCCTGGGAGACAGCTCGGCCAGCCTGGTGCTGTCCGACCCCTTCACGCTGGAGACCAAGCCCCACGGCCACGGCGACGTGCACCACCTCCTCCTCAGGGAAGGGGTGGCGGAGAAGCTCAAGGGAGGCGGGTTCGAGTGGCTCTTCTTCTTCCAGGACACGAACGCGTTGGTGAGGGGTTTCTCCTTCGGTGCTTTCCTTTTTTTTTTTTTTTTGTGCATGAACTCATAGCCAGGGCTCCGGGTACGCGTCGTCCCGGATAAGGGGGATCCACGTGTGTTAATTTTAGCGATATCCGTGAGCAATAGCTTGGTTGTCGATTTCTTGAGAATACCTGGTATACTTCCACAAAAAAACAGAGAAGGACCTGCACTGTAACCACAGTCGAAAGAGATCTGCAGAAATCTTTTCGGTGGTGAGTGGAGGGAAACCGGCGGGAAACTATGTACATCGCTGGTGTCGCGGGGGGGGTGGGTCGTCTGTGTGGGCGGTTGGTTGGTCTGTTGTTAGGCGAGAACAGTGAAACGCGAAACGGCCCAGGAAATTTTCGCGGAGAGGCGGTGGTCGGAAAGCCGCAAGGCGATCGGCCACGATTGTTTTTTGTTTTTTGTTTCGGTGCTTCAAGAGTCCTCTGGTAAGTGCAAGCCTGCTCCCTCAACCGTGTTGGGTGTGTGCATATCACTTGCCGTAAATGGCTCTACTCTTTTATGTCTTGTTGTTGTTGTCGTTGTGACAGCGGTTCTGTGCGGTTGTCAGAGTGCTCCAAGAGAGTCAGTCCTGACGTATCCAAGGGTGTGGCGATGATGTTGACGTGGACGAGCATAATCTTGCGATGCCTTCATCCCGTTGAGAAGCAACGCTTCAGCCTGTGGCCAGTATGGTATCCAGCCAACTGCGTGTGAGTACGAAGAAGACCAACTGCTTCAAATTCCAACCCCGTGGGGCATACTTTTGTTTTGTGCCGTGAAGACGACCATCCCTCCATGCCAACCAGGACGCCCGAATGTTTTTTTTATTTTTATTGTCCATACGCAAGTCTGAACTCTGGCCGTTTGCAGTGACTGCTGCCCGGACCATGTGCAACCTCGTATAGGTCAGCCCTTGTCACTGGTCAGCCGAATGCGCCGTTGCGACAGTGACGTCACTCATGTGGCCTCCTCTCAGAGAACACGTCTGTTTGTTGTTGTCAATGTGCGCGTCGGACGTTATTCTTTTTTTTTTCTTCTTTTTTTGTGCGTGCTTGCAGGTTCTGAACTCGCTGTTGCCGGCGCTGGGCGTGAGCGCGAGCAAGGGCTACCACATGAACTCCATCTGCGTGCCGCGGAAAGCGAAGGAGGCGGCTGGCGCCATCACGGCCTTGACGAAGGACGATGGGTGAGATGGAGAGGGAGAGAAGGCAAGAGGTCGGAAGCAGGACAGGGGAAGAGATAAAAGAGGGGGGAGAGACAAGCAGGAGAGGGGGGGAGGGAAGCCTGTCAAGCCTGCGAAGGAGTGCGTTCTTGCAGCTGCTCCTTCTCTCTCTCTCGGGCCGTTGTCGATTTTTCCCTCCTGCGGCTGGGTGACGCGCCCGTCTTTCCGCTTCTGTCACCCCCCCCCCCCCCCCCCCGTCTCTCCCTCCCACGAACGAAACCGCGACGACAAGAACGTCGTTGATCATCAACGTGGAGTACAACCAGCTGGACCCAATCCTTCGAGCGACGGTCTCGCCGGAGGGGGACGTCAACGACCCGAACACGGGACTGTCACCTTTCCCGGGAAACACCAACAACCTTGTCTTCATGCTCGAGCCCTACCTCAAGGTAATTTTGTTCTTCCTCAGCAGCCCGGGAGCCGCGGCTGTTGCCCCCTCATGCACCAGCTGTTTCTTGCTGTTGCACATGCTCTGTATCCGGGGATTGAGGGGCTGAGGCGTTGTTGGCAGCAACGGCGAAAAGCTGTGGTGTAAAATGTACATTTCACCCTCTCCTTCTTGGGTGTGTCTGTGTTGTGGGCGTGCGTGTGATTGTCTGTCGCCTTGGGTTCGCCTTGTTCCGGGCGGGGGGTCGGTCTCATCGAAGTGCAGCCTGCCCGGTCTGTGGACAGCAGCCGAACAGGGTGCCCTCGCCGGCCGAACCTCGGTGTGTCGAGAGCGTGTGTCATGTCATGAGACGTGGCGGTCCAAGAGGGAGATGGTCCCCGAGAGGAGTGAAGTTACGAAGAGGGGCCACAAGCATTCTCTAGTGGCACCCACCCCTCTGCGTGGCCGTTCGTGCCTTGCTGCACCACCGCTCCAATCGCGCGTCCAATCGTTTGGAATACGCCAGGTGTTGAAGGGGGAGGACGAGGGGGTTGTGGTCGAGTTCGTCAACCCCAAGTATAAGGCCGGCAGCCGGACGGAGTTCAAGAAGCCCACCCGGCTCGAGTGCATGATGCAGGACTTCCCCAAGCTCATGTCCAAGGAACTGGGCGACGCTGCGAAGGTACACGTACAGGGGTGTTGCTCGGCCGACGGACTCGGTCGCCGCACTCGCTGCCTCTTGAGCTCGCCTAACCAGTGTGCGATCGACCGTTGCAGGATAGTTGTTACTGGGAGAGATGGATGGCCCAGTTCGATCTACAAGTAGTCGCCGTGCGTGTCCCGGGAGTATTTTTTGGCAGAGAGGATCTTGATCGGTGTGTGTGTGTACTGTAGGGGGGTGCACTGGCTGAAGTGCATTGCCCTGGAGCGCTCTGCTATGAGTCTTGGCATTCCTGTGCCTCTACAGTCTGTGTCAGGCCGTAGTGCGGGAAGGCCTAGGGCTTACGTCCAGGGTTGTTCGTTCGTCGGTTACACGGTCCTGCTCGAAGCAGTGATCCTATGCGCCCACCAATTCCACTTCTATGTTGAAGACGTGCCAAATTTCGCAGAGGTCCGATCTGCCCTCCCCTCCCTTCCCCAGACACGGCAAAAAAACGTTTTGCGGGGAGTCTGAAGCTTGTACCCTGCCTCCTATTTTGTGGCCGACGACCCCCCCCCCCCGTACCTATGTGTGTTTTTGATTTTTCGTAGATCGGGTTCACTTCTTTCGACAAGTGGCTTACCTTCTCGCCGGCCAAGAACGACCTAGAATCGGCTGCGGCGGCCGCGGCGGACGGCGTGCCCCCGGGGACCGCCTCGAGCGCCGAATCTGAGTTTTACGCCCAGGCGGCGCGGCGACTGCAGATGGTCAGTGGCAGTCGGGGCGTTGGCTGCTTGAGGGTGGCGTTGTGGTTCGAAAATGTGTTGGTGTTGGTGGAGGCTTTGCTAGGCAAGGCGGTTGTGCCCACGTCAGTTGTGGGCGTTGAGGAAACGGCTGTAGTATGTGTTTTTGGCCGGTGTGCCGCAGTCGCTGTTCGTTTGCTACCAAAGCAGTCTTGGCAAAAGCACAGCAGGAGAGCTCCCAAGCAATACTCTGTCAAGCACTATGGGACAAACACATCACCACAGGGAAGGGTTTGTTCCGATCGGATCCAATGGTTTTTGTCGCCCCCTGTCTGTTCTTCCCAATAACACGATGGGAGTGCCGACATATTGGCGGCCTTTTATAAGGCGTTTGCCCGATATTTGCCGGCTGAAACCTCTTGGCACAGACAGAACACCCGAGGTCGCTCTCTTCCTCAAATATGGGCGATGCCCGCTATTGAGTGGTCATTTTTTTTCCTGCCCCTCCACCGCCTTGCTTCCCGCCCCGACTACATGGTTGTATCCGGTTTGTGAGGATTGTGCAGCAGTCTGGCGGACCGAAAATATACATGTTTCTGGGATTCAATGTACAACGTCTTGTATGCACTCGCCTTTCACAGCAGCCATCATGAACATACGCAAGTCGGAAATCAGCATGAAACAGACACACATCTAGAGGGGAAAAGTGTGCGGCGGCGCCAGCGCCGGTTCTTATTCTCTCGCCTCATACGAACTACTCCCTCCCGCAGGCCGCCGGGTGCGAGGTCGGCGAACCCGAGGACGTAGAGTTCGCGGGAGTGCCGCTCTCCATGGGGCCGCGGGTGGTGCTCGAGCCGTCCTTCGCGACAAGCACGGCGGACCTCCGCGCGAAGGCTGGCCGGGGGGTGAAGATCTCCTCGAGGAGGTATGTTGTTACGTACAGCTGCGGCGGCAGTTGTGGGGTGGTCTTGTTTTTTTTGGTGGCTGATGGGGGCGGTTTCTCGTCGATGTTTTTGTTAGTGGTAACATCGAGTCGACCCGGCGTCGGAAAAACACGCACACACACTTCAGGTTTGCTTCGTTTACGTACAAGTAGTGCATTTGACTTTTGATAAACAGTACTATTGTCCCTCTCGGCCGCGACCAACGCTTCTGTGCCTCGGACGTTTATCCTCCGTAAGATAATTGGAAGAAACTCGGAAGGATGACGGCGGGTTTGTCGCCTTATGCCCCCCTCCCCCCTCCGGTTCTCCCACCCGCGGTGGTTTCGACACTGGTGTGCTCGTGCCACATGGGATATGCGTTGAGCACGTCGAGAGGCATTCGTCGCACCACTCAACCGATGACAACAAATCGCGTGACCCGGTCTTACATCCCGCCACTGCTGTTGCTGGTATCCGACCGGCTTGCACGAGATGGAGGAGCTAAACGGTGTTGGTGGTACGCTGACCCCACCCCCACCCTTTCCGCAAAACCCCCCGCCCCCACACATCACCCTCTTAAAGCGCCCTCCGTGCAAATCGTCCAACTTTGCTGTTTGTTTTGTGTCCGCCAGCACCATCGTTCTAGAAGGAGAGGACCTTCACCTCGAGGGGCTCGAGCTGGACGGGGCTCTGGTGATCAAGGCGGCCCCCGGCGCGAGGGTGTCCGTGCGGGGGCTGAAGGTCTCGAACGAGGGTTGGGTGATGGTCCCCCTCCCGGAAGACTTGTCGCAGGTTTCGGAGGAGGACAGGTGAGACGGAGGGCGGGGTGATTCGGAGGGAACGACACGTTACCGTCCGTGTGCAAGGCGACGAGTTAATTTTGGAGATAGGGGGGGGTTGATGAACTGGCGATGTGTGGGTTGGTCTGCGAGCGGTAGTGAAGCGTGCGTGTTGATTGACCCGGGTGAGTGCGCCAGGGGCGTAATCTGTCCCCCGTGTTGTGTTACGGCTTTTCAAGACCGAAGAGAAGAGGCTTGGGATTTCGTGGAGAGGCTTCCGTCGTTTTTGCTCCTGGGATAGGGGATGGGTGATCCCCCTCGATGGGGTGACAGCCGGGGAAGGGGGTTATTGTCACCACCGCTGTGCTGGTGTAGCAGCCCTTCTTCAACCCAACTGATGACCTTGGTGTGATCCCCGGATCCCGATGCTAGTCGTTCCCCCTGTACTGAAGACCATCCGCCTCGTGTGTGCCGCGTATGCTCCTAGCTAACGCACGATGAACTGGACCCCCTTCCGACCGCGGTGTTTTCTTGTTTGTCCCGTGTGCTACTGGCGTTTGGTGTGGGACTGTCACGTGGCTGGCAGGGTACGAGGGTACCTGATAGAAAAGAAGGCCACGAAGCTGATCGAGGTCACCGAGCCGGGGGATTGGCTCGTCGGCGTCGAAGGCGACGTTTCACAGGTGCGAGAGACTTCCACCGTGCTACCCAGATTCGCTGCAGCTTGTACACCATGACCTCCCAGGCCTTCTGCGCCGATCGTGCTGCACGTCCCTGCCGAATCTCGACATCTAAAAAATCGCAATGAGCGTGCCGAGGCGTCTCCATGTGAGGTGGCAGATCGAGCGCGGCGGTATGATCTCCTCAGTACCCGCCGGGAAAGAGAAGAGTGATTGACGGATCGCTTCGGAGAGAACATGTTTCCGCGCGTTCGATGGGTGCTTCCGCCCTCCTTTCAGGAGCAACACTCGAGAACGCATACAACTCAATCAACTCTCGGCTTAATCGGGGGGGATTGTGGGCCTGAGCATTTTTCAAGCGTAGACAATCGGCCGCATCTTGGAATCCGCGCGCGAGATCGAAGCAGGTGTCAGTTTCGTGCATGATGGCACTCTTGCATCGCACCTAACGCCGCGTGCTGTAAAACGGCGCGCAATCGCAACCCTCCTAGACTGGCTTTCATGGCTCGATTGCCCCTGAACCGAGAGGGTGCGAAAGCCGGCCGGCGTACGCAAGGAACACTCTCGACGAGATCACGTCCAAGTCCGCCCTCTTCGGAAGGGGCACCGTCTTGGTTGTGGGACAATCGGGCTATGAAACCGGTCCACGGGGAGTGGTTCTACTCGCCGGTTTACTGTAGTTCTCCGTGCGGGTATTGCGCGAGCCTGGGGATTGGTGTTTCGGCACCCCTGCCGAGCTTTGCCGTAAACCTCCCTCGACTTGCGCGCCAACCGGGTGTCACGGTTTTTGGTGTTCTGCTTCCCATCCCATGAATTGTTTGAAGAGTGTAGCGAAGTCTGCCCAGCGACAACCAGAGGACGTCCGATTGGATTTTTTCAATCAAGGACCTCCGCACGAACTCCGTGTGGACGGGAGGAATCGAGATCTCTGGTGCCAAAGCCGAATCTGTGAAACCAACAATTTGTTACAAAACACTCAGCCCAAAGTTTCCTCGAAAATACGGTATGTATTGTAATAGGCCAAACCAACCCAAGGTTCCCCGGAAGTCATGATCTGCTCGCTTGAGGGGAATAAGAAATATGATATTATATCAGTGCTTCTTTTATCCAGTCAGCGCCCCCCCCCCCCCCTGGGGGGGGTACCGTGATTCGTATTGGTGGATGCGCGTTCATACCAAAAGCATTGAGGCGCGACTTTTGGGCTCAAAAACGTGTTTCCGCGAGCATCAGTGCTTTCCGACGACGAATTGCGTACCGCCCAGGTAACATATGTCAAGTCACTCGGAACCAGTTGTTGAGCGATCCTGAAAATGTCGGGAGAAACTCAACCGGATGAACTAGTACGTGAGGGCGTAGCATGGGTTCCCATTCCTATCCAGGTTTTGTCGGCGCCTCGCTCTTGTCGGGAACGAGGTCTACTGCCAACTTGTTCGGCGAGTTGCCAACACCCATCAGTTCAATCACTCGTCACCAATCGCGCCTGCCCCTGAACGCTCTTGATTTGCTCGCGTTACAGGTGCGCTTTGATGTTGTCGAGTAAGCGCGGACGTCGTCGGGAAAATGAGGTCCATCGGTTTAAACAACGTTGTTTGTGTCGCGGTCCGAAGGTGGAATCAGCCTCCCAACTTCCTGGTTCATGTCATTAGCAAAAGCAACAGCATCTGATCTGCAGAATCGACAGCATGTGCAGCGGTGCTAAACCCTTGGATCCGAACTGGAAAATAGTCTCTTTTAGGTAGATGCTGTTGCGGTTCATGGTTTGATCGTCTGTGGGATTTTTCTGCAGTACCTGAGAATTTTAGACGGTGCGCCGGAGCGTACGACATGCTCTTGCCAGAATGGTGTTAAGGAACACGGTAGTTGCAGCAGCTGCGTTTTTTTACCATGCCAGTCCGTCATGCTCTTCCAGCCTTGTCAGTACTTGATATAGATGATGCTTTTTTTAGTCTGCCAAATACGAACCTGATACTGATTATGTTGAGCTTTATCGTGCGGTTGCCCCGAGCAGCAACACTATCCTGATGGCAGCCCTCAGGGCACGCCAAAACAAAGCTGTACAATCGGTGGATGGTCCGGGTTCGGGGGGGTTTCGCACATCTCCTCTTCAACGACCCAGGACCAGAAAAAACGCCGCCGCGGTGGTTTTCTGAACTCTCATTCATACTACATACACCGCTGTGGGAAAGAGGGCCTGTGACAGCGAACCTTGTCATCTCCACGGCAGTTCAAGGGCAAGCACGCGACATTCCTCGCATGTTGACTGTACAGCACCTACCCACATGCAGTCTCTCAAACCCGAGGAGGATGTTTGTCTTTTGGCTGTGTGGCATGCATCATATGAAGACCAAGTAATAAATGACCATCCCAACGTTTGGCGGAGGAAAGTGTAGGTACACATCATTACGTGGAACGCACGTAGCACATTTTGTTCTCGAGGCAACAAAGAAAAGCTGTGCATGGGTCCCCATACAAGCAAAGCCCTAGACTAGACTGTACGCGAGAAAGGAATAAATGGTAGGAGATGGTGGGAGAACAAGTTTGTATGTGTGCGATCGAAAAAAACATGGCCCGCCCAGTGAAGTTCTTGGGCGATGGCGGGTGCCGTGCCCACACGCGACGAACGAAACACACAAAACATCCAGTCTGTTCCATGCAGCCACGTCTGTCTCCAAAAGGATACGCCATCGGAGTAGAAAGAAAGTGAATAGGAAGTGAACCATGGCCGGTGTGTATGTGTGTCCGCCGCGACGTGAAGGGCCTGGAGAGGGCGATCCCGAGAAACCAAACACCTGGAGAAAATACAACCAATCCGAGTTGAAGCTGTTTAACCAACAAACGTCAAGATCGGGTCGCAGGCATCACTTCACGATGCCTGCATGGCGCCCATCAAACACGCAACACGCAAACGAAAACATACCCAACACCTCCCTGAGCTCGTCCCCCCTCGGGCCCGAACAAACAGGGGTGAAACAGACGAGCAGCGACAAATAGCTGTGGAATCTCGACCCTACAATACCTCCCGAGGAAAAAAAAAAACGCATGCCGTTCCTCTCTATGAATACGCACTGAATTGCTGGTGACCAGGTCTCGCCCCTAAAAACACCCTACCTACAAGAGAGACCTGCTCCCAAAAATCGATCCAGAATCAAAACACGCTCCCCAAGTGTGTGTGCGGCGGAGGGGCATCGTCTGTTAACCCAGTCCACCAACGTCCAACACCGATCGATGAGTGACCATCGCGAGGGCCGGCTACGGCCATCAAGAAGCACCCGCACGGACAGCGACAACATCGAACAGCAAGTGTCGGAGTGAGAACGCAATACTGTACAGCGAGGTTTGCCAACGGGAAAAGACACGCGAGCCCTTACACAACAACAGCAGCAAACCCAAGCCTCCCCCCACTCGCTAAAAAAAACACTCGACAAAACGCGAAGAAGGTCCTTTTCCGTCCGACAAAGAGAAAGTACCGATGAAAGCAGTGCACCCAACATAGGACCAAACCACGTGAGGAAAAAGCGTTGTCCGCGCGCCGCCCAGCCAAATCTAATTCTAATTCTCAACTTGTCTGAATGGTCATCAAATGTTGTGTGAATTTGGTGAGTGAAATAGACATACTATTGCACTCGTGTGCCGCGAACGGCGCGAAACATCCATCACGGAGAACATGCAGTAGTGTAACGGGCCGGTGCGCCCCCAAGTCGCCGGTTCCCTACAGTACCCCGAGATTCCACGGTGGCGACACCCCCGTGCTCACAAAGGAAAAGCCGGACCAATCAAGAAAAAACGACAACCAACAGCACTTGCTCAGCCTCTTCATTTCACTTATTGAACGCTCCAGTCAAGCAAACATCACGACGCACCGTAGAAAGCAGGGCGCAGGAGGCAGCGTCTTATTCTTCATAGACGTTCGCCACCAATCCGGTCGTGTGGAATTGGATCTATCCGAACTCGACAAAAAAGAGCGTGAGTCAGCCCAGAGGAACCAAAATCAAAAACCCACACGGACATCAACATCAAACAAGCCAAAAACAAACTCACACACAAAAAAACACAACTATTGCACCATTTTACATCGCGTTGTGCAGGTTCGGCATGCGAAGAGGCTCATCGGGGGGCATTCTTATCACGGCAACCGCATGAGCAAAAAACACCCAGGAAAACACCGCTGTCTCTCCTCCATGTCGACCCCAATGACGCTTAGGACGACACGGCGGCTTTGGATGACGACGACGAGCCTGCAGTCGTGGGCGGAATCTTCCCGTCGTCGAAGTCTCTGCGGACAGCACCGCTGATCTCCCCCACCTGCGCCAACGCCGTCCGAATAACGGGCGGCGGCAGCAAGCAGCATGGACGGTATGTAGCATCGTCATGAGCACTTGAGACACCGCGAGGAAACTTGGGTCGCATTTTCACGCCATGAACCCTGACTCATGCTACAGGTCGTGGTAACACCAGCATCGTTGAAAGCAGTTGAGAAAGCGCTCAGCTACCACGAGAGGTCGGGCCACTTTCTTCACTTCACGAATTATCTTACCGCATGCCGTGCCACCGCGAGGAGATGAAAAAATCCTGCAACCGGGTCAGAGCCCGCCGCTGGTCATTTCACACAGAACAAAACTCCCAACACATATCTACCACAAGTGTCTCAGTGCAAGAACGTGAAGGTCCCCGACATCACATCCCCGCCGCGGCGGCACCGGCGAACGAACACGACTTAGCGTGAGTGACCGGAAAAACGGCACAATAAACCTGATCATTCTTCAGCGTTCGAAAATAGGCTTGGGCGTGCTCTGTTGTTGTCTTGGGGTATTGATATTCAGTTTCGAGGACGCTACATACGGAAAAGCGAAAAAGTTCCAAGCAAAACTCACCGCCTTCGCGAGGTCAGCCCAGTACGTCGGGACAGCATCCCACGGGTTGTGGTGGGCGGGGTTGTCGGAGTCCGGGTCGTAGATCTTGTCGGTCATGTAGACGTGGCTCCAGCCCCCGTCTTCCAGCTGGTTCACCCAGTGGCATATCTCCTGCGCGAGTTTAGAGTTGGGGCGGGAAATTTCCGACGTTAACGGAAGGGAGGGGATGGTACTGTGTGGCAAGGAAAAGAATAGGTGAGCAGCTGCGATGTTTGTCTCGTTCGTGAACATTGAAAATTCACAAGTTTTCCTCCAAGTGTTGCCGCGGGCGAGGGGATGCGCCGCGCGCGCAATCTTCGTCAAACACGACGCATGTGCCGCCTACGAACATAGGTGGGGGGTCTTCGGGGGTAATGAATGGGGTCTCGAAACGCGTGTCCACCTCCCGTCGCCAACGCGCTAAACCCCTCGAGCTCGTACCTCACGCACGAAGACAAACAAAAACCACACACACATGAAACGCCGCCCACAAAAACCGGAGGGAAGAATCGTCCCGGCCCTGCTTGCACCCAGCACCTCGGAACAGCGGCCATCGGGTAGCGAGCAACCAAAAGGGGAGGACTACGAAACGGGGCCCAGTGTGAAACAAAATCCCCGCCCCCCTCCCCCCCTCGTGAGACGTGAGAGCCTGGTGCGGTGAGAACCCCCCCCCCCCCACCCCCCCTTCACGAAAGGAAAATTTTAAAAGCCATACCAACTCGAACGAAATTTTGGCCGCCCCGGGGGACATTAACCCGGGCCCCCCCTGGACAAGGGGGGGGGGCGCCGGGGGGGGCCCCTCCCCCCCCTTAGGCCCCCCCACGGGGTTT